GCAGCCTTGCTGACAACTTGATTTTGGCCCAGGGAAACTGATTATGGATTTCTGATCTTTTGAATTGTAAGAGAACAAATGTGCGTTGTTTTAAGTCTCCATATTTGTGGTAGTTTGTGATAGCTACAGTGGTAAACCAGGCCTCATGCTTCAGAGGGCCATGCTCCTGGCCTCCTCCAGCTTTGCTCCTTATTCTTGCTTCTGTACAAGGCCCCAGGTGCCCAGAACCCCTGAATGTTTTAGTCAAGGAATTCCTACTCAACTCCTGTTTCCACAGCCTATATACCTTTTCCTTAAGTTTGTCTTTATGAGGCAAACTTTGATGATGTACTCATGCCTAGAAACGGAAGGGTAGTCTTGGGGGCAATTGTTTATGGAGGCCAGCCACTGAATAGACAATAGACTGAAGGACACAAGGGCTGAAGCCAAGAGACCACATAGGAGGTGACTGTAATAATTCCAGCAAGGGATGACGTGGAGGTGGAGGTGGTGAGAAGTGATTGGAGTCTGGATTTTTTTTTTTTTTTTAAGTTAAAGGCAACAAAAAAAGACAGGTTGAGGATGATTCCAAGGTTTCTGCGAACAACTGTAAAGATGACATTTCCATTTACTGAGATGATAAGAGAGATAGAGCAGGTTTGCTGGAAAACATCAGAGGACCAAAATTTCAATGTGTTAAGTTTAGGGTGCTCATTAGGTAACAAAGTGAATAGGAAGCCAGATGTTTGAATGAGTCTTGTCTTTCTCAAAGACTGTATGCTTCAAGCAATTAGCATAGGGTCTTGCAATAGGTGACTCCTAATTAATATTTGATAAGTCAAATGCATTTGTGACATTCCTCCATGGAAACGTTTCAAGAACTACCCATAGTTTTATATCCTCATATCATCAGGTTGGTTAATGTCAAGCCTATGAGACAACTCTGTAGACCAGGGATATTAACAACCTGATTAGTGACTTCTTGTTCTTGACTCTTCTAAAAATTTTGATTAGGACGGTGACAGATTTTGAACATTAATGTCAAGTGGACTGAAATCAGTTCTCATGATCTGTGTCTTATTATTGTGAATCTATCATTATGAATCTGTGTGTCTAGTGTGAATCTCTTTTCATTTGCTGATTGCAAGAAATTTTTCTTAGTAATTATAAAATGTGTAGCAATATTGACTTTTTCTCCACCTCTGACATTACATTTTTTTTCCCTCACCGCATGTTTGAGATTTCAGCCAACTTAAATTCATTTTGGATGCAAATAAGTCCTGAAACAGGTTCTGATGATGCTGAATAGTCTGTGAAGGTTAGTTCTTTAGAATATTTTAATTTGATGAATAAACAATAATGCTGATCTTCCAGGTTCTAATTTAACAGACACTGTAAAGCTGCATGTTTATAAAACATAGTGTGTTTTATAGTGTTGAAAAGGTCATAGTTCTGCTGTGAACTTTTAGAGACTTAATTGCTCGTGCATTTTTCTCTTGTACCTTCTAAAGTCTACAGTCAAGCTTTCTTCCCCCATCACTCTCCTGACACTTCTTTTGTTAAGTTCACCAGTGATGTTCACATTACAAAATTTGTGGTCATTTTTTAAATCCTCATTTTACTTATTCTCTCCTCAGCAACATTTGACCCAGTTGACTACACCTTCCTTAAACACTGTTCTCTCCTTTATTTTGGATCACTGTGTTCTTTTAACTTCCTCCCATCTCACTGGCCACATATGCTCTGCCTCTGCTTAAATCTCTTTCTCTTCTTGATTTCTAAACATTGTGGTTGCCTGGGGTTCAGTACATGGCCCTCTTCTCTTCTCTGTCTACATATACTCCTTAGGTGACTCCATCCAGCCCCATGGTTTTAAATACTATCTTTAAATACTAGTTTAATTCAGATCTCTCTTCTGAACCCAGACTTCTTTAGCTAACTTCCCTCTACCTCCATTTCTTCATCCATAAATTGTGCATAATAATAATAATAATACTCATCTCATAGCATTAAAGGAGATCTGGTGGTATAGTGATTAAGGCATTTGACTGCTAATCTCAAAGTCAATGGTTCAAACCCATCTGCTGCTCCACGGAAGAAAGATGGGGTAGTCTGCTTCTGTAAAGATTTACAGCCTTGGAAACCCGATGAGTTTCCAATGCTATGAGTCAGAATTGACTCAATGACTTTTTTTTTTTTTTTTTTTTTAAATATCATAGCATCAGTATTGGATGTTCTCTTTGCATCTTCCAATCTACTCTTTGTCTTTCTCCATTCTTCTCAGTGCCCAGGGAAGATGACCTGCATGGACTGCATCAAAAGGTTATCCTGCTCCCTGGCTTTTCTAATTGAGTTTAGCTAAGGGAAGGTACCATCAGGAGATGGGATAGGAGAGGAGAAGGTGTTCTGGCTATTTATTCTCCCAACTTCCTTCCTGTCAAGTCATGGGTTGGCAACAGCTGCCTTTCTCTACAAAAAGGCCACAGGTCATGTTGGGCAGCCAACAGTTCCAGCCCTCTCTTCTGGTTCCAGTAATTGGTCTCTCCCCTGTTCCCTCTGGTAGCTCTGCTGGTGCTAGCTCTAGGGAGTGTCACCATTCCTTGTTGGCTTCCCAAACTGTAAGTCTCTTCAATCACTTGGTTTGAGTGTGCCATTTGTTTCCTGCTGGGACTTGACTACTTCAGAATTATTACGGTCATATTTGTAAAATGTTTAGAACAGTGTCTGGTGCATAGTCAGTGCCCTAGAAGCATTTGTTAAATAGGTAAATGAATAAACTGACCTGTCTATTCAGGTGTATAAAATGAATTTTTTTTTCCCTCTCTTGTCTCAATTTGCTCCCTCCTTCTTCCCAGTCTTTCCCTACTCACTAAAAGCCCCTGAACTCACCCATTTGCTCAAAGCAAAAACTTAGAGTCATTCTGAACTTTTTTCTCTTATATCCTTCATTCAATTTTCCTTCAACATATTTTTAGAACCCAACGTTTCTCATCATCTCCACCACCGCCTCTGTACCCCCAGTCACTGTCATTTTTCATGGAGATTATGGTTATAGATCACTATCCTCTGCTCCCACTTTTACCATCCCTCCCCATTGACTATTATCAACAGAATAGACACAGTGATTTTTTTTAGAAACATAAGTCACATCATGTCATTTCTATATCACTCAGAGTAAAAGTCTAAGTTCTTATACTAGCTTGTATAGTATCACATGATCTGGCCCAAGTTCTCGCTCCAACTTCTTTTTAAACCTCTCTTCCCTGTGCTCACTCTGTTCTGGTCACACAGACCTTCTTGGTGTCCTTGAACATGCCAGGCACACTCCGTCCTCAAAGCCTGTGCACTTGGTGCTCTCTCTGCCTAGGAAGCTCTTCTGCCAGATATGTCTTGCACCTTCACTTCATTGATATTGTTTCCTAAATGTTACCTCCTCCAAGAGATCTTCCCCGACCATCCTAAACAAAGGAACACCCCCCCCCCACTGCTCACTATCTCCTCACTCTGCATTATTTTCCTTCAATGTTTCTTTATTACTTGCATTACATCTCCCACACTAGAGTGTAACTCCATGAGTACAGACACCTTTTGCCTGTTTTGTTCATGTCTGTATCTCTAGCCTTAGAAGAGTGATTAACATTTAGTAGGCATTCCATACATACTTGTGGAATGTATGAATGAAACTTGCTTGTGCATAGTTTCCTAAGACCTAAGAGCAATTCCTACTTGTCCTTGTGTGCATATTTCTTCCCAGGTGCCCAAAGCATGTCCACACACTTTACCTTACTTATCCTCACATTATCCTGTAAGGAGGGAAGGAGAGGAGCCATTTAACTAGGACTTATATTATACAATACACACAATAACCATTGGCTGCATGTGGAAATGTTTAGTTCCTGAGAATCTTAATGCCCAATAGTTTGATGATGTGCATGCCTCCAGAGAGGCTTCTAGCCATGCTTTCATTTATCTCATGATCACAATATACATTGGAATTCTGTCTTGGAAGAAGATATTCATTTTGTAAGGGTGAATATTTTGCTGTAAGACCTGGCCATTAACAACATACTAAGTCAATATGAATTTTGAACAATTAAAATTATTTCCAGATTTGAAAAACTACAACTGAAATTTGTGGTTTCAAGATTCACAAATGCCCATGTGACAATATGAAGCACTGGCTTCAGACATTCTCTGCAGCTTGTATTCAAATTCAGTGACGAAACGTGTAGATTAATTTGCAGTAATTACACCAACAAGCCATTAGTGCCCTGTTAAGACTGTCACATGAATGTATTGCTCTCTTCTTGCCCCCTAAGCATGGGATGTATTAGATATTACAATGAAAATTTAGGGACAATGTACAAATAATATGATTTTTTTCATTAATATTTGATCAGTAAGAAGATACACAATACATCCTTAAGATGAATACATTGATTCAGCTTTCAATTAATAATTCTAGCATCAGTCACACACCAAAAATGGTATTTTTATGTGTTTATTTGTGTACAAAATATGTAATTTATTGGCGCATGTGCAGCAAAATATTCTATCACATACAATAAAAATACCCTTTTTATCCCCTTTTCCCTGCCCTTGGAAATGGCAACACTGTTTTGGAAGTTCAGCAGCTGAAAATAAAGTGCTATAATTAAGCAGTATTGGGATGTCTTCACTTGACAAATTTGATGTACGATTTGAGTATACAGCCACATCTTTGTTGGTTTTACAGAATAGGAAGCTCCACATCCTGAACACCTCCAGAATATACAAATATTTGTATATATATGTACACATGTATACACTGTATATGTAAAGTGCCAACAAGCCTCTTTGTCCTTGTGAGTTTGTTGCATGTATTTAGCTTTCTGTTTTGATTGTTTTTCATTTGCAGTCTTTCCTTCCAAAGTCAGAGTCACACCAGTGGGATCTCAAGTTCATCAGCAGGCACTCACTGAGAACCTCACCAAAGGCTGGCCTGTTGGGGGTGTGGTGTTGCAAGAGTGCGGAGAGAGCCTTCAGACCTCACTGGGGGACCTGGAGCGGAAGGGCACTTTGGACTGGAAACAACCGCAGAACAGGAGCCACAGGGCTCGCTGGATCTCCTGGTTGCGGAAGGCATAAATGATGGGATTGATCATGGAGTTGTATGTGGCAGGCAGCAGGGTGGCGTAGGTGTAGACGGCCGGGTCCTCGTGGCTGCCAACCACGCAGTAGATGGCAAATGGCAGCCAGCTAGCGCCGAAAGTCCCCAGCACCACGGCCAGAGTACCCACCCCTTTCCTAGTGGCTGCGAGGTGCGGCGGGGCCAGGCAGTGCTGCTGCAGCGCGATCTCATGCGCGTGTCGCCAGACAACCTGGCAGATGCGCACGTACAAGTGCAGCATGACGCCGAAGACCGCGAAGAAAGCGGCCGAGAGCAGCGCCACGTGGCTGCGTGTCAGCGGGCGCACCACGCTGCAGGTGGTTCGCTCCGACAGGCAGTTCCAGCCCAGCACGGGCATCAGCCCAAGGCCTAGGGACACGGTCCAGGTGGCGGCGAGCAGGAGGTGCACGCCCAACAGGGTCCGGCGCGAGTAGTAGGTGAGCGCGTTGTAGAGCGACAGGTAGCGGTCCACTGTGATGGCTAGCAGACTGCTGACCGAGGCGGAGAAGGAAGCTACGAGGAAACCCACGGTGAGCAAGCTCACTGTCTCTGAGGGCGCCAGGTACTGGAACACGAAATGCAGGATGAGGCCGCAGCCGGCCAGGAGGTCGGCGGTGGCCAGGCTGCCCACCAGCACAAACATGGGCGTGCGCAGCGCCGGGGTGGACGCGATGAGAGCCACCACCAGCGCATTCTCGCCTGCTATCACCGTCCCCGACACGCACAGCAGCACGTCCCACGGGTTCACGGTAGAGAGCAGCAGCCCCTGAGGCCCCGCGGGCAGCTGCGATGACAACTCCAGCGATGAGTTAGCCCCACTGCCGCCTCCCAGCGCCGCCGCCGCTGCAGGGCGGCCCCATTCTCCCGTGTCAGACCCTCCTACCGCGGTGGCCGCCGCAGCCGCTCCCTCGACCGCCACGGCCACCACCTGGGATTCGTTGAGCGAGGAGGAGCTCGCGTTCATCGTGGCTGGAGGCTGCACCCTGCGCGAAAAGGACAGCCCGGTCAGGTGTGCAGTTCAAGGAACCAGAGAACTTGCTTGTGCATAGGTGCCCCACTGGAATTGCGGGTCCCTCCTGGCACAAGAGAATGTAGCCAGGAAGCAGGGACTAAGTGCGAGCCAAAAAAGAAATAAATACCTGTCGAGTGAGTGAGTGAAATGCACACAAGTCCCCCCATGGACATCTGAGGTCTTGCCCAGACATACACACAGATCAATCCCGTAAGTGTGCTTCTAAATGCACACGCACCCTACACCCCGAGCGAGGGTGTCAGCTTAGCCGAGTCTGAGCAGGGCTCGGGCGAACAACAGGCGGAGTCGCTGTCCGCGGTGCTGAAAGCGAAGTTTCCGCGATGGGCGAACAGAGCGAAGGTGACCGCGCAACACAGGGACTCCTGAACAAGGAGTAGGAGCTGGTGTGTTTGGGGATGTGCTGCAAGTATGGAGTAAAGCATGGCTCCCCTTTTCTGGCTTTGGGAAAGAACTGTCCTCTGACTATTCTTCCCCCCTTCCCCTCCCTACATCCTCAAAGTTCCTCCCGGGAGCCCAGCTGCTCACCTGGGGAGTCAGGGCTTCAAGAAGTCGCTGGTCATGGGCACCGTGGCAGGGCACCGGGCAGCGCTCCCCGTGCGGACTGAGCGGTTGCCTGTAGTGTGTAGTCGGTGCCAGGGCGGAAGGGAGCGCCGGGCGCCTGTCGCTGTGCCGGCGCCGCCGGGAGTGAGAGACACGGTTGCGGAAAAGACTGCTGCGAGCTGCGCGCCTGCCGGAGATTGACAGGCACTGCGCGGTGACGTCAGGCTCCCGGCTCTGGGTGCGAGCTGGGCACTTACTCTCTTCTCCCGCCCATCCTATCCCCCGTCTCCCATCCCCTCAGTGGACGTCTTAGAAAGGTCAAAGGGAGAGGAAGGCGGCGCGACTGCCCCCTGTCCAGAACCTCCTGGAAAGGGATTAGGAAAATAGGAAAGAGAGGGAGAAAGGAAGTGAGGAAGACCCTGAGGCCAGGCGAGGAGGGTGAGCTGGAAGGGAAAGGGTGAAAGATGAACGGCACTGACAGCGAAGCCCAGGGCCAGAGACCAGTGAGGCAGGTAGAATTATGGTGAAACAGGAATGAACGGTGAATATTCTCTAAAATAATAGTTTGTGTTTTTTTTTTAAAGAGAGTTTGTGGCAGGTGTAGGAGTATCTGGGTGGTGCACAAGATTAAGGGCTGGACTCTCAGTGCAAGGGGTGGTGGTTGGAACCCACTTAGAAGCACCTGGAAGAGTGGCCTGATGCTCTGCTTTTCAAAGGACTCAGTCTTGAAAATACTATGGAGCAGTTCTACTCTGTGCACATGGGGTCGCCATGAGTCTGAATGGACTCAACAGCAACTAACAACAGTAACAGCCTGGACGGGTGTCAATCCAATGGGACAAGGGGAAAAACAGGGAGTCTGGAAAGCAGAGAAGAGATGACTAAAGAAGTGGCATCTGGAACATCTTAGGAAAACAATCTCTTCATTTAGAGGTTACCTGTGCAATGCCTTTCTCTCCCTCCATGCCTCCCTCTCTCCCACTATCCTTCTTCAGCTCTGCTGCACAGCAGGTCTTCTGAGATCTTCTCCTAGTCCAATGTTTCCTGATTTCAGTAGCTGATAGTGCCCTTGGAACTTGCTCTTTAATTAAAGACCAGGTCTGTGTCTTGTTAGAAAATAAGAAAATGGCAAAATGTGATTTACTTTCCTGGCAACAGACTTTGCACTGTTAATTAGTACCCTATAAAACAAATTACAGGATGAAAATAGTGATAGCTCAGCTACACAAGACTTCAGTAGGCAGGAGTTTTATTTTCAGCCAAGATAAATCATCCTTTTGGTTTAAAGGTGTTTTGTTTTGTCAGTAAAATACAAATATTCAACTTTTTTTTTTTTTTGTCAGCCAGAATTTTCAATAGCTTTACTTGGGCAAGAGCTAACTTACTCCATCTAAGGCTCTAAAATAAACGGTTTTCAGAGACCACATGTTCTGGGAAAACTGAAAGTTGATACTTGTCATTAGTCCTTCCATTTCTGTTTGTGCACCCTTTTCCCTGGCTTTAGTTTACCTATTGCCTATGGGTTCCAAAGGGGAAAACAGACTCAAATCGTCCAGGAATTGAAGGGATTTTTCCAACACTTGTCTGTTCCCTCTAACCCTGGCCCTCGAGTCCTACTCCTACCAAAATGTAGCTGAACTTCTTCCCTATTGGAAAAAAGGGCAATTCTTTGCTGCTGTAATCAGTGTTGGACCATAAAAAGAACTTACACATAATTTATCCATTTGGGGAGTTTGTAAAACTCACACACCACCATTTTCATGAACTCCAAACTTGGCTAATGTCCTAGGTTGCTGAAAAGAGCTTTTTTGGGTTTCAGTACAAGATTGTCATCTAAGAGCCAAAAATGTTATTTCAGAGTTGTCAAATGAACTGTCCAACCACTGTAATAACATATTAACTGCAAATTTTCAAAATGATCAGATAAAGGCCCAAGGAGAGGAGAAGTGTCTTTAATGTCTAAATGTGTTACTTTTTTTATTAAGGTAAAAGTATATGTAACACAATGTTTGCTAATTCAACATTTCTGACATGTACAATTCATTGACATTGATTACATTAATCATAATGTGCAACCATCACCCATCCAAAACCAGGAAACCAAACTCACTGCCATCAAGTTGGATCTGACTCAGAGTGACCCCTCCTTGGGTTTCCAAGACAGTATCTTTATGGAAGTAGATTGGCCAATCTTCCTTCATAGGAGTGGCTGATGGATTTGAACCGCCTGCCTTCTGGTTAGCAGTCAAATGTCTTAGGCACTACACCATCAGAGCTCCCAATATATGTTGCCAAATTTTCTGTCATCATTAACAGACATTCAAAAGTTCCTAAATAATTATTCTGCCTTCCACACTTAAATATGTTACATTTTTACCACAATTTCTATGCACTGTGCCCTATGCCACAATGTAGCAGAAAGTATGGGATTCAAATTGAATGCTCTATGGAATCTCCATTTGAACATATTGCCAGGAATGAACTTCTCAATGGTTTCAGGAAGAAGCCAACTCATGTAGAATCATGTACAGAGGGGGTGATGGAGGGTTCGTAAACAGTCTTTGGGGCATGCCAGTCTGTGGTTACTTCTATCAGATACAACACTAGACCCTGAGAGTAGACAAGGCACATTCTTCCAAGTCCATCCTTATCTCCCCCATGCCCACCAATTACTTGAGAAGCGGAAGACAGGTTCATGGGTTATGAACAGGTACTAGACGTACTTCATTGCCGGCCTTGCACACAGCTCCTTCCTGAGTACCTGCCGTGCCAGTGGTACCCTAAAATATTCAGCCTGTGAGCCACATGATGACATTTTCCACACTCAGACAGGCTTATGGGAAGAGGTTGACATGTGACCCAAGGATAGATAAGACCAGCCATCCTTTGCTGGACTAGTGACTGAATTTCTCCTCTTGAATATTTGAACTAAGAGACTTTGTGACTATAGTCAATCATTACTGTAGGCTCTGGAGATGACAGATTATGATAAAATAGTGCTGAATACTCATATGGACCTTGTGTAAAGTGAGTAATCAGAGGAAGCCAGTTGCAATGGAAGAATGAATCAGGTGTGCAGAGAGGGACAGAAATAAAGGAGATCAAGTGACTGAGATCAGTGACTTCAGACCCTGGATGTCTGGTTCCTGATTCTGGAAATCCCTATTCCCCTGGATACTTTGAGATTTCTCCTAGTCTTCTGGTTTCTCTTCCCATTCTTGAACAACCTCGAGTAGGATAGTTCTGTATATCTTTGATACTTAATTGGAATACACAGTATCTACCAATTTGTCTAGTCCTGATTACGTTTTCTGATCTGCAAAGCTCATTACTGCCAATCCTGTGGCAAACTTTGGTGACTTTGTTCTTTGTATTCCACTACCACCCAATCGTAACCACAAGGAAACATGCTTGTCTGGGGTTATAGCCAGGAACCACAGCCTCTCATCCTCAACTCTTAGGCTCTCTTTGGTATCTCTTGACCATCTCAGCCTATGCCAGTGGTTCTGTACCCCAGCTGCACACTAGAATTACCTAAAAAGCTTTTAAAAACTATCCATATCTGGGTCCCTTACCCAGAGATTCTGATTAATTCACTTGGATTTAGTCCAAAGTGAAGGCCAGTTATTGGTATCTTCTAAAGACCCTAATGAACTGCCAGAGTTGAGAACACTCATCCAAGCCATCATACAATATCATTATCAGTTTAATGTGCAGGGAAATCCTGAAGTAATGGACTGGAGTTCGGAATAGTTGCAATAAAGAAATTTTGGCAACAATCCAGCTTCAAGTCACTCAGTATAATTTCAGGTTTATGGTACTAACCAGGCCTCCTCTGCAGAACTTTAATTCTACACACTCACCCAAAATCTCTTTCTGGACCAAGACAAAGTCTGACCCTTGGTTTTCTGTGGCCTTGATGAGGTCAATGGGTCCATCATGGCACTCCAAACCCAGGTTCTGGTCCATTTTGCTCTGGGCTCTTTATTCTACTGCTCTGGATACCTCAACATCTGCCTCCTTTCCCTGTTCTAAGTTTACCATTTCCCAGGTGTGCCCCATCCTGTTGATCTTTGTAAGTCAATTCTGTTTTACAGGATCAGAGCTGTAGTCAGCCAATGTGCTTAGACTCTAATAAACTAGTAGAAAGACTCATATAACAATTCTTGCCTCTTTCTGGACCTCTGCAGAGACATACACACACTCCCTCTACTTGGTTCGTAGAGACAAGGGGTATAGTTTTCTACTGAGAAATATGGGTCTATCTTGTGGTACACAGGTAGTTGTGCTGACATCTCAGAAGATAGCAGGTGCTTGGTGAGATGTATGAAGCTGTTTATTAAGAAAGACTGTTATTGAAAGAGGCAGGAATCACAAAGGACCATTGAACA